CCAAATCCCTTAAGGTTGGACCCAATAATGTGTGTAGCCCGCGTAACAAGTTGTGCGAAGTTGGCGCTCTTGCGGACCACTGTCACACAGATGTCCTCGCTATCACTGAAGCGTCGCTGTCCGCGAAAGTCGTGCAAACTGAAATATTCCTGCCTGGCTACGTGCCAATATGATCGGATCAACCCTGCAACCGTCGTGGTGGTGGAGTTGCACTCTAACTATACTCCTGTTCACATGCCTCCAAGACAGTTGAATTCCACTCAACAGGTAGGACCGTAACAGCCCTTCTGGTTGAAGCATTTACCATGTCTTCCCAAGTAAAGCTTGGGTTAACGTATATAAGTACTGATTGTGTTTCTACAATCTACTTTGCTGTGCTTCGCGCTCACTGAAAGTACCGAAGCTTAGTAATAGGAAACTTTAACTTACCAGAGATCGGTTGGCGCAAAAGCTCTTGTGTGGTGGAGGCTACTGGCTTGGCGGCAGAGCTCATGAAAATGATTTTCCAAGCCCCCTCACACCAGTTTGTAACCAGCCAACATGGTTTATAGAGTGATAGCCACGGTCTATTCTTCAGCTTATTTTCGACAGCTGTTGCTTTCCTAGGTAACACAGTTTACGGTCGGCGGCGTGGAGCTAATGACCAGGCCTGTATTTCCTTTGAGTGCGCTGTCAATATGGTTCAAGGAAAATGCATAGCTAGACGCCAAAACATCTGGCGCGCTGATTTTCAGGCGATGCACTTCAAGGCTGCCTTGTTACACTGCACCAGCTTAGCCGCGAATGATATGCAGACGGCATGGGAGTAAGGTAATGCATTCCTCTCTGATGTGTCCCTTCTCCACATTCCGCTTGCAGTTGGAAACAAATTAAACTCCAAGCCACTCTGGTTTGATCTAACCGCACTTCAACTGCTTAACAGTCTGGCCAGGTTTTGGCGCAAGTACCTCTCGATACGGTCAGATGGCGTCTTTCGGTGTTATCGAACGGCATGAAAAAGCGTAAACAGCACCTATGGGTTGCTAGGCTTCGTTGCGAACTGAAGCCAGTAAACACATATTCAAGCAACCAGAAGTGACATTTCGCTTACGGCGGAAGAGGATGCTGTGCAGATCCATACATCCCTGCGTTTTACGGACCAATGGGGTCACTGCGCATGCCGTCCGCGATAAGGCCTGCCTCGGCAAACGGTATGCGAAAAGGTTTCTTCTCGAGTCTCCTTTCTCAACCACAGAGTTAGTCCAGAAACTTTGGCAGTCTGTTTGTTGACTAACTTCGGCGTATCAGAGGCCCGATTGGGTTTACTGCTGCGGGAACGGGACCATACCAAAGCCGCTAGGGCTGCTGCCATTCTCCAAAATTGTTATATAAACTGGAGAATGAAGTTTGTGAGCCCGTAGCTTGCTTGTTTGAAAAAGTCAATTATTAGTTGTGCCCTATCTACCGACTCGAGGGAAGCTGTAATTTGCCTTATCTTTTAAAGGTGAAATAAGCACCCTCCTGTAAACTGCGGGCCTGCCGGTCTAGCCTGTGTGCTGGTTAAATTGCTAGAAAAGATGGTGAGGGATACCCTCGAAAACCAGTTGAGGACTTTTACATTCTCAGCCCATCACAAGAGGGTCTTGGCAAAGCGTACACATGCTTGGCCAACTGGTTGATTGCTGGAGCAATTTGGGCGGTGGCTGTCGTTCAGGATCAATCAGTGGATGTGCTATCCACTGATTTCTACAACGTGTCTGTCACTGTCCCGCATACTAGCCTTTCCCATAAGCTCCGTTCCTAGGAAGGTTCTGGAGCGCGCCACGAGGGCTATCCACACTTCCCGAAAGGCGAGAGATGTGGGTTATGGTGGGCTCCAGTCTTTCTTCTCGACGTGCAATTCCAAGCGACGTCCCGCGGAGATCAGTTTTCGGTCCACTGCTACTTGCTATGTACGTAAATGAATGGTCAGCAGTGCTGGCGCTGCGTAACCCCATGTGCACCGTGAACTAGAACTTTGGTGTACGGTGAGCGACCCCGATGGCTACCAAGTTCTGCAACGTGCTCTTGCCAGCCTACTTGATTAGTTGGTTCTGCGGCGGTTGCCAAAACTACAGTAAGTGTTCCGTTTACGCATAGGATCAAATGGTGCGACAACGCACTATGTGCTTGGCGATAATGAAGGCCATCATGTATCCTAACAAATTGACTTAGGGAGCACTTTAGTTTCAAGACTTCAACGCCGGCGATAACTGGAAGAAGGCCACTTGCAAGGGTTTTCGAACCCTATGTATTATCCGTAGATCCTTTGGGAGGTTAACGAAAGAAACGTTTGTGAAATTGTTTACGCCTTTGGTAGAGCGCACTTGGCGTATTGCTTCTAGGCTTCTTCACCTTGCCTGACAGAATGGCGCTGGTGCGGGTCTTTAGAATCGGAAAATAGTCTTTTGGTTGTGGCACCTGTCCTATCTTTACAGATTGCTAAAGCTAAGGCTAGTTTTGTTCCGCTATCGCCGTTCTCGTAGCGACCTGATTCACCCTTATCGTATATTAACAGGACAGTTAGGTCCAGACGTCTTTTGGCCATTTCATCGCATACACTTACCTACATGGTGCATGCGTCTACTGAACTTGAACAACCTGAAATCTGCTCGGATTCGGGCTGACACTCTTTTGTCATGCCAGGTTATATATACTTGAAACGCGTTACCTTTACTGTGCGGACACACAACGAACACGCCTCAATACCTATACTTCATTTTTGTTAGTGCACACCTTCTGATATTTTGAATCAGCCAGTTAATCGAGTAGTAACCTATTAAGCCACTAACAATGGGTGACCCCGACGTAAGCAAGTAGGCAGAAACCAACTGCACTAAACTATCGTGTGTTAGGCAATTTGTCTCATACGTCCAAACGGCAGCATCACTCGAACTCATATAAGATGGATGACAGTAACGAACCTCAAACCAACGTAGGGTCACTTCACTTACCACCATTTTGGCACAGCGATCCGGCCATTTGGTTTACGCAAGTTCAAGCACAATTTGCCCTCTGCAGAATTACACAGGAGATGACAATGTTCTATCATATACTTGCCGCATTACCATCAGAAGTAGTTGCCGATGTTGGAGATATTTTGTTATCTCCCGACCCCATCACTCCATTCCAACAGCTCCGCGATGCTCTAATCCTTCGTACCTAGATTTCAGAACACAAGAGGCCAGAACAACTTCTCGCAGATGAAGCACTGGGAGACCTGACACCATCGCAACTCCTGCGCCGTTTGATTTGCGTTAAGAGAGAACGAAAGATAGACATTTGTCTATTCACCCAAATATTTTCAAAACGGCTACCTCAGGACTTCGTTTCGTCTTTCACGGTGACAGCTTTTAAAGGACGACTTGACGCCCTCAAATTGCAGCTCCGAATCTGCCTCTTCCCAACTTAATATAGTTTCGGTTTGCTCTTCCGCTATCTTCCTTTAAATTCACCCCTACTAACTTCCTCTTCATCCTCCTGTTTCGTAAACTTCCGCTTCGCCACCAGACTACCATTTTATTTTCCTTGTTTTAATTCACGCAGCCGGCGCAGCGGGGCTGCCAGCGTAGGAGAAGGGGCTTTTGTTTTGGATGAGCATGAGTTGATTGGTACATGCTGCTTTGGCTCCAACAACTGGCCGATCTTACCACCACATTCTAACTTGGATCAGCGACGAGTACAGGATGAAGCGCCCATGCGGATCTTCTTTTGTTTCTGTCACATTTAAATATGAATTTGAAATGAGGCATTGGGCTTGCAGACTCCGTGCGTCGTCTAACCCTGCTATCAGAAATTAAAAAACGCCTTAAACATTTGAAAATGAAGTGATGGCGTGGGTGGCGAGGGTGCGGCGAAGTATGTAATAAGCTGCATTGTGTATAGGGTAATTGTTTGTCACGAGGTACGCAACGCAGTTAGTTGCTCAAAGACTAAGACAATCTAGAGTATCCACTAACGCAGCCATTGTCTGAATTTGCATGGTGCACGAATGTGAACACGGGATGCAAACGCGATAATAGTGAGCCACAAAGCAAGCCTAGCTACCACATACGAATCAGTTAATGCCGTTTGTATACTAATCCTGCGTTAGTGTACTGCAATTCAGATATGTTTAGAAACCTTAAAGCCTCACAAAAATGACGAATAGACATTAGAACTTCTCCTTTCATGGTTGCCCCGATCAATGTATCAAATTTTTCCAAGGTTTCACCGCAATTTGGTGACGTGCAGGTAGTATTCGTCTGGTCTACGACCAGTCTGTGTACGAACGAGCTGAGGAGCAAGATGTGCTAGGTTCGAGATTCCGCGACAAGCTATGTGATCAACGGAAAGTTAATTGTCGCCTCGGAAGCAAGGATCCAAACTCACCGCCTGCTGCCCGGAACTGGCTGGATAGCCAATTATGTAGTATACGCCCAGTCTCTTGTTCCTAGGGCTTCAGCCTGCAGCGTATACATAGGTAGTAGGCTTGGGTGTTGCGATGTAAGCGAAATCTCCGAGAGTGGATGGATGCTCACCTCACAACCACCTAGTCAAAGACCACAGTACCCTTATGTTGAACCTAAAAAGAATCGAAAGTATGTCTGTCCCTCTACCCGCTGTACAACAACCTCTGTACCTTGGGGATCATTACAAGGGCACGCTCTGACCTGCAAGAATTCTCATGTAGGACATTTGTACAAATAATATAAAACACTGGAAAACCAAACCTTTAGTGAAGGTAAGTAATGCAAAAATTAAGTATACCTATTGTTGATGCATTCTTGCTAAAGGTTCATTGCACCGCTCTGTTCAGCTCATGCACCATCATAACCGAGATCAATATACAGGAAAATTGAGGGAGAAATGTCGGTTACGTGCGAACAATAGTTAAAGCACCACTTAGTGAGAATATTTCATTTACATAATTGTAACCTTCTGCTGTCTGGTAAATACTTTCACGTAGGCACGTTGCATGCACTCTTATCTAACTTTTAATGCTTAAGTTCAAGGGCATGTTTAAGATGCTGTGCTTCCCAGAAAAGCGCGCTATTTGAGGGTTCTGATTTTCTCCCGATTATTATAGTAATGCTGGATGAAGAGTGCCTATCGGCTTCTAGACATGAAAAATTAGAGAAGCAACGGGAACTTATACGTAGAAAACAGAAGAAAAAGCATGCACATCAGGTGTTGTCTTTGCATATGCTGTCCGAAAACTTCGAATCATGTAAACGTGAGGATCGAGGACACCTCACACCAAAATCCAATAACAAGGAGTCAGCTGTTGAGGACATTGACGGTTTTGCGGCGTTTGGTATGTTACGCCTTGGCTTTTTGGTTGTATTAATATTGCAGCTTTTAAAATTGGTGTTTCGTGTTTGACATATTGATCTACGTCTTCTTTAGTTTGTTTCTTGTAAATAAAAAATAGTGGTGACATTTTTGGTTATGACACCAGTCAGTATAATGCATTATTAATGGCACAGGTAATAATACCTCCATCAAAACACATTTAGTGTATAAGTTAATAAAAAGAAACTGCTAAAAACCTCATGCTTGTGGCGTTAATGATACATTGTAAACGTTCTGGTCCTTTGTAAGATATTTGTTTAGCTTCGGTGTATTTTACCACGTATTCGAGTAACCGGGAACGTGCTCATGAGTGACGGTTGAACATCCACATTTGCAAATTGATTTGCCATGGTTTCTGGTTTGTGTTTCAGATTCATTTTCAAATATTTCGGAACAAAAGATAGTTCCATGGTTTGTTCATCCTGTATGCGTCCTTGATCTAGGTTCGAGTTCGGTTTACGATTCGCCAGTTTTATAAGCTGTAGGACTAGTGAATACTGGTCCGAAACGGTGCTCTGAATTAAGCGCGGATATCGAAAGGCAATTGGAGTCAAACACAGCGGACTGTATTCAGTGTGCTACAAGAATACGCGGACGGATGAAACGAGACAATAGCAAACACGGCGCTGGAACTTACAAGACGGTGAACTGTCGAGCCATGTGTAGGTCAACATGGAGGTGATACAAGGAAGATTAACACAAGAAAGTGTAGTGTACAATTGATCATTAATGAAATTGTACACGAAAGCGAATAGTTATCTTTTGGGGCGTTACATAGCTACCCTCTAGAAGACTGAGCAAAAGAAGCCATCGACGTCGAAAATGATGAGCGAATCGAATTGTTTTGGGCAAAATCGTGCCGAGTGAGTGAGTGGGAGTTCAGGTCAAAAACGGGTTCGCAAGAGCTTGGAGACTGCTGTGCCGTTTGTGATTTATTATTTTTTGATTGCATGGCTGGGTACATTTCGGCGAGCCGTTGGAGCGGGCTTGTCGGACTACAAAAACTTGCTAGTCCAGAAAAAGGCCGACTGGGCCTCAAACTCCGCTTTTGCTAAACGATGCGCTTGGGAATAGTCTCTCTCACCGCCGCACCCCACCCTTCCAAAACGACCCTCATCCCACAGAGAAACGACCCACATCCCACGAAGCAGTGACCTTCATCCTGCGAAGAAGCGACCAACGTTCGCGTCAGGATCTCCGTTGACTACACCGATCCTCGAAAACATTCGTCGTGTGAGCCAGTCGATCGAAGGGGAGGGTTAAGGCATGTAGAGGAGGGAAACATAAAAGCACGCGCAGAAAACGCCAGAAAGATAGCACGAATGAGCTGGGTGTTTCGATTTTTTGATTTTTGAATATTTTTTAAGAAAATAGTTTTCCGAAGATTTTGCTGTTTTTGTTTGTTTTCAAAACGTTAGTGGAACAAAACGGGGCAAATATATACAATATATACAAAACTACACGTATTTACAATGTACATAGTCGGCAAGACGAACGGGCTTACGCACATCCTAACCACGGCGGTTGGTCGTGGGACGTGGTGGGCTAAATTCGGGTGCTGTCGGGACGGCTGATACTTGTAGACCGGGATCTTGGTCTGGTTGAACTACACTAGGATGCTGAACGTTGGTGCGGTGAGTTGTGACATCATACAGAGCACTATGAAGGAACGTTTTAGACAGTCCATGGTGCCTACTTCGCGTTGACCACCGCGGTAACTAGTGTACGTCTTAATCGCACGGTGTAGCACTTTGAAAGGTCCTAAGTACGGCGGCTGAAATGGCTGTCGAACACCGCCTGCGCGAAGAAGGACGAGTGACCACGTAGACAGCTTCTTGAGCACGTACACTGGTGTCTTCTGCCATCGATGAGCGGGTGGACGTAGCTTACGCATTTGGTACGCCAATAGACCGGTGTAACTTCCGTAGTCAAAAGAGGATGCAGACGGGGCTGGTGCTTCCAGCTGTCCGGGCAACCAGAACGTGCAGCCGTGGACTAAGTGCGCTGGTTTTGTGTCGAAATCGGCTTTAACTGTGTTTCTTAAGCCTAAGAGGATGAGAGGAAGCGTTTCCGACGATGAAGGATCTGCGTGCCCACCTAGCGCGGCCTTCAATTGACGGTTAAAGCGCTCCACCATGCCGTTAGCGGCCGGATGATACGTCGTCGTCTGAACGCGGCGACAGCCTAAATCCTTAAACAACGTGGCAAATGTCGAGGCGAAATATGACCCTTGATCGGTGGGCACGGTGGCTGGACTGCCGTATTGAGTCACCAGGCGCTCCAGAAAAACTTCGCTACCGTTTCCGTATAGCATTTATGTATGCGGGTAGCTTCCGGCCACCTAGTGAATCGATCGACACAGGTTAGTAAATACACAGAGCCTTTTGAAGGCGGCAGCCGACCCACGAGGTCGACATGCACGTGGTGAAAACGTGCATCTGGCGTGGGAAATGTTCTTACTGCGCTTTTCGTCCTCTTCTGCACGGTCACGTGTTGACACGGAATGTAAGCGGCTGCCCAAGTACGAACGTCACGATTGACATTGCGTCAGACGAACCGTGTGGTTACGAGTTTAAACCATGCACTAACGCCTGGATGAGACATGTCCTACAACGTGTCGAACACGGTCTGCCGAAACTCGCGTGGGAGGATTGGACGCGGCGTGTCCAGAGATAACTCGCGATGTATAGTTCCGTCTGATGATGTCAGCGGAACGGGTCGTATGTCCAGTGAGGGAGACCTGCAAGACCATTGAGTTGCGCTGTGGCCATAGCTGTTAAGTCTATATCGGTGCCGGCGTTAGCAGAGATTACTTGAATTCGGGAGAGTGCGTCGGCGACAGTGTTGTGCACACCTGAGACATGTCGTATATCGGTCGTAAACTGAGCGATATTGTCTAGGTGGCGCGACTCTCCAGGAGAGTATCGATGTGTAGTCGAGCTAATCACCTAAGTCAGGGGTTTGTGGTCAGTGAAGACTGCAAAGGCGCGGCCTTCTAAGCCATGTCGGAAATGATGTACGGATAAATATATGGCTAATAGTTCGCTACCGAAAGTACTGTAACGAGATTCGGCAGGTTGCCAACGTTTGGAGAAAACTGACAACGGCTGCCAAGCGTCACCTACCTTTTGTTGTACGATCGCCCCAACCGCTAGGTAAGAAGCGTCGGTATTAAGCGACAGTGGGGCTGCCTGGTGGTGTTGCGCTATAGAAGCTATGTTAGCGATACTTTCTTTCAAAGCCTGGAAGCCGGCGCATGCTGTAGCGGGAAAATCGAACTTCTTAAGCATCCCTGCGGAGAAGGTCCGTGAGGGGTTACATAAGTGAGGCACAACTAGGTATGAAACGGTGATAAAAGTTGATGGGGTCATCAACGATTCTTAGCTGTTTGAAAGAGTGAGGCTCGGGTTAGTCTACGATGGCCTTAATTTTATCCTGTAGTGGCTCGACGTCTGCAGGAATGATAGGGTGGCCGAGAAAACTAACCGAATCGATAACAAACGCACGTTTTCTGAGTTGATCGTCACCCCATCTTGTTTGGTGCTAAGTTCTCTGTGGGGTAATGGCTGATTATGACGCGTGGCAGTGAAAGCCGCAAGGAAGCTCTCTCACCGATGTCGCCTTATCTTTGCGCGACAGCAAGCTGTTTGTGACGGTGTGTTGTCTACACAAGGTGTAGGCGCCTTGACCCTGAATGTTTGCTTAGGGCATTAAGGTTTTCAGGTAAGACCCCCTTATCTCCCTCTTATTATTCTTTAGTTCCTAGGCCCTCAAGCTTGTATGGCAGCGAAGCATCAGTTTACATGACTGATGTACTGTGTTGCTGATGATGATGCCGTCTTGTGATAAACGATCACAGAGCGTAAGTGCTCATCGCGTGGTGAGCTAGCAATTAAGCTGTCATGGAGATGAGCATAAGCGAAATCTAGACCGCGACCAAATTGGCAGCTGAGGCGTTGAAAACGTTGCGCGGCATTTTTCGGACGATACGGTACGCGCAGAAACTCGACCAAAGCAAATGGAGTCATCACGGCAGTCTTAGCCATGTCCGCTTCGGTTATTGGAATTTCGTTGTAAGCAAGTACCAAGTCGGTTTTACCGAAAACGTTTTTACCTGTCAGATTAGCGGTGAGGTTCACAATATATGGAATAGGAACGCGATTAGGCGTGGTTAGGTTGTTTAGAGGTCAATAATCACTACAAGAACGCCAGTCCCCCATAGTCCTTTTCGGATCCATGTGGTGTGGTGACGCCCATGGGCTGTTGTATGGTCTCATGATACCGAGCTGAAGCATGTGCTCGAATTCAGCTCTTTCGGCATGTAATTTATTGGAGGCGAGTCGTCTTGGTCGGGCCCTGGTTGACGGACCGCGCGTGAAAAGGTGATAAGCGACCTCTGTCCTGACTGGGGTAGCTCTGCAGCTGGCCCTACCAGTCGCGGGTATTCGGACAGCAGGTTCGCATAATCTGAAGACACATCGGTGATCCGGAAAACAGGTCTGATTCTCGGGGCGTCTGTAAGAACGCCTTCAACCCCTAGTTCAGTACGGTCGTCTGAAAGTCTGTGGCGACCAGTGTCAACAAGCAACCCAAAATGTCGGTGGAAGTCGATACCGATACTTGTGAAGGGTACAGACACGATCATGAAAATCTCGGCGCAGATTTTTGTCCAGGTTCATCATGCGCTGACCGAATGAAGCTAGCGAAGAACCATTGGCCGCACGCAGGTTGTACGTAGGCGCTGAGCGCTTGTCGTTTGCGTACGCAGGGATGACGCTGAGCTCCGCTCCCGTGTCGATGCGGAATGTGATGGAAGAATTTCGATCCTTAATAGATAACAGGCGATTTGCGTGGTTATGCAAGGATACGTCGGTCGTACTAGTATGCTGGCTATTCACTTTCCCTGAAGCGGCTGAGTCGTGCCTAATACAGGGAGCCCGGCAATATCTAGCTCTTCCAACA